TAAGGAGGGTGAGTTCAGGGAGGGGATGTTAAATAGTAATAATTATTACAAAAATTCGACCTTATGTAGGCGGAATTTAACGAAAAAAATTGAAGTCGGGCTACCGAACTTATAAGTCGACGGGATTTTTGGAGCCTCTATAATCAATCTTGCCTAAATGAATATGCGAATTATGTGCATGTCTACGAGGGTAGACATAAGTTATGTATGAACTGCGCTAGTCTTCTTCGAAGAGGCAAGTGAAATGCAACAGAAAAATAATATATGGTCACTTTGAAAGAGGACTTGCTTAAAATTAACGAATGTAGTAGCAATGTCGTTTGTGAAAATCATGTTTAAGGTATGAGTACCTCTCATTGAAGAGCGGACCAACTGAGACAATTTGAATAATTAATAGTACCCAGGATAGGCTGAATACCAGTTGGACAAAAGTTTGAAAGCCAGTCAGTTTTTGGAAGATAATAATCTTCGGCGATTAGTTAACGGTAAATTTGGACCGCGAAACCAATTTAAATTTCACAAAGTTTTGTATCCTCATTGGATAGTGAGTTAGGACGATTGCATGTCCATTTAAGGATGAGCGTTCGTCTGGGCGAGGGGATAAACGATGGGAAGCATGACTTCCAGAGAGTGGCGTGGCATAAAGGTTATATAGGGACTTGAACTCTAGAGAAGGCAACCACAACCACGCCTAGTAATGCGGTCCCGACTGTTGAAATCATACTTGTCTATGGTAAAAGAAGAGTTATAAATCAGGGGAAGGGTCCAATATTCACTCACGCATATGACATCGGGTATAAGCTTAAAAGCACCGGCTCTAATATGAGACATCTTATTAACAACAGACGTAGCATTTAGTAATATAATATCTAGTTTATTGAGAGTAGCAGGGCCATGTTTAGCATTATTTAAAAAAGAACTTGGAGGTGGGTAGCCAGAATGTAGGCCAATATTATTTGGGAAATGATTACAGTCGGGACTATAACCATTGGTATCTGGATAGTCAATAACGGGTGGTTAATAGGAGGGCGTAAGATATTTGAGGAAACCGTTATCTGCTATGGGAAAATTTAGAGGGGATACATCGAAATCAGCCTGTTGAAGAGTAGCGAGAACTGACCGTCAAATAAGACATGCGTATAATAGGGGGGTATAATATGACCACTGAGGTTATAAGACGAGCCAGAATGTGGTGGTTCAAATGAGTTGTCTTTAAATTGGGATGAGAGCGAATTCGTACCCCCCCCCTTAAACGACATTAAACGACATGTTTCCGCAGAAACAGTATTCAGACACCGTAAAAAGATTATAGGTTCAGCAGCTGCCGAGATAGATGGCGCCTCACCATTTCTCCTCAAATCTTGTTGTGCTCCCCTAGCCAATGCCTTGGTACGTCTTATCAGCTTGAACTTTGTGGGGCCCAACATTCCAGATAATTGGCGTTCAGTAAGAATCACTGCACTCACCAAAAGTCCTTTATCTTTGCTCCCAAATCAATTCGTAACATTTTCTGCTCTTCCGCACTACTGGAACCTGCCTAATACATTATCACACCATCTCCTCCGATTTTTCCGCCTCCTATAATTACCATGTAAGTCAAGGCGTTGCGCACTAGATGTTTTTTTGCTGTTGTGGCCCATTCTGTTCTAAGAATCACTTCAAGTCAATTATTGGAGGGAAAATGCTTTCAATTGAGCTTTGGATAAGGATCGTAGTGCGTACACACATGCATATATTGACTACTCCTCAAATTTTAGCTATGTCTCGAGCATCCCGTCTTTAACAAAGCGTTTGCAAGCGGCTCTACAAACTGAGCAGTTTCTTGGCTTATTTTGATTTTCACACTCCATTCGTTTAGTGAAACAAGCGATAACCCATTGCCCTCTTCAACAACTACGAAGATCTTTAAGAGCCTATTTTATTTCCTCACGTGTTCTCCTTCCAGAATAATGACTTAAGGTCCCCAAATATGGATGAATGTTGCTCATTCTCTCAAAACCAGACTCATCTCCAGGTTCCGAAAGATGGCTCGGACCAAGTCTCGGCATCGGAAATGGCCAGTGCTCTTCTTCTGAAGAATCAGAAGTCAGTCCACCGTGTTTTTCGATAGCGACCCTCTCCCAGTCTTGGATCATTAGACACCCTGAACAACGAGTTTTACTCTTTCCCGCACCTTGGTTTTACTCTAATATTTTATATTTCGTTGCCCCTTCCTATTGAAATCCATTTCCCTAAATTTAGTAAATTCCTATATTATATCCGTCGGTTACGTTCCTATCATACACCTCAAGTCCTAATCTAGTGCTTTAAAGATGCCTGTATTTTTTTCTCATTTCCCCTGCACTCTGGTTATGTTCCCAACTATGATTTAGTACAAAGTCAGGTTGTAGTGCAAAAATAACAAAATATCTAGTAAGTGCTGTTTCCTACCTTAGCTTGGCTTTTACGTACTAGCTAATTTGTCTTTTTCTAAACTGCACGAAGGGCGGCAAGAACTAAGTGATTCGCGGACACTCGTTTGCAATGGTCCACTGTTCGAAGCTTTTGCCTCCTCTCTATGAACTTCCCATGTGCTTCCCCAGATACTATGGTGGAGTTCTCTTGGTTGGAGCTGGCAGTTTTGCTTTGAACATGTACATGGCTGGTCGTGTCATGAAAGCTCGCAAGAAGTGGGACATACAGGTACCCACAAATCAGCTACATTTACGTTTTTAGCCGCCGCTATTGTATCATCCAACAAACGAAGAATTCAACTGCATTCAGCGGGCGCACCAGAATTAGTACTGTTTTATTTATATTTTCGGTCAACTTTAGTCTCGAAACCATGCCATTTTTCCTGATGAGTTTGTTTGTTGGTGGACTTCGGTGCCCCGTAAGTGTTTTCTGTAGTAAAACCTGATTGTTTAGGTGGGCGCTGCGGTATGTGGTTCCGTTTTTCTTCTAGGAAGAATGGTTTACCACCATGGATACACGAGTGGGAGTAAGTTGTATTTCCAACAGTCTCGTTTTGCCATGTTTCAAGTTTCACTATTTTCTATGCTTTTACAAAATTATTAGCGCCTTGTCTCTGGCCGTGCATCGTAGTGCGTTGACAGCGCATGATAAGCTATATGCAACTGCTTTGTTAATAATTAAATACAGCGGTAATTCTTTCAGTCTTGTACGCCGTAGTTATGGACTTTGACTTGGTGTGGATGTGGTAATTCTCAATCTAGCCGATTTCAATTCAATCCAAGATATTGGGAGAGCACCTTGCCTCGACAATGCCGTAAATTGCATCTCCACTTGAGATGGTCTGTGCCGGCATACATTAACAGCTAACTCTACGTTCTCAAAATACAGGGGCGTGACAGTGAAAGTCCTAGAACCACCTACTGTTAGGATGGCCGTTGTTGAGCCATGTTTTGAGTTAACCTTTTCTTTGCTGCTTCTAGATGGGTAGTGATGCCTTTTTAAGAGCAGTAACAGTAAATTCACTGAGCAAGTGATAGAAGACTCGCCAAAGCCGTGAAAATCGTCCTTGCTTGCTGTTATGAGATATGCTCGCGATGTCACGAGTGCAGACTGTCTAATTTAGGAAAAACTTGATGTACTTCACTTGGAGGATGCTCTCCAGATTGTGGTGTTTAACACTTCCGATTTGCGCTTGCCATGTGCGTGCGCAGCCGAACGTTCAAAAAACGATCTGTGTGCTGCCCAGTACACATGAATCTTCATTAATAGGGCAGCATCGGTTTGGAGAACGCTTTCGTCCCTTTTCTGTCCATTTCAGGCCACACTGCTCAGACATCAGGCATCAGATGTCAGCTTTTACACGTTGACAGCAACTACTCCTGAACAGTGCCTTCTGGTCGGAAATGTGGTTCAAAACCGCTGGTAGTTCCAGTGCTTATAGTTGAATCGAATGATCTGTCAAACACATCCAACTTCGACAGCTTATTCTGTTCATTCCCGTAGTCTGACACCATCAAATCTATATCGTAAGCATACGTGAGGTCGATCAGCTGGCGTCAGCACATAAATTGAAAATAGTAAAGGTTGCGTAGAGCCCTTGCGTGAACAAAGTTAATGGATCAGTCAAATTTGGTGATTGGCCTTGTCAGCCGGAAGACTGAATGCCCATCGGTTGTGATTCTTAGTGATAGAAAATTTAGCAGGCCGTAGAGTCCTATTATTTGTCTCACAGATGACCAATGAGGCGAATTTAACACTGCGGCCAAG